CTCGTGCTTATCGCAGGATTTTGTAACGTCACCATTATGCAAATTTTGTGCAAATTGTACCAACACACTGGGCATTTCAAGCGTACAGACAATACTGTAAGTGATGTTAGAAACAGTTTCCGCCCCTCAGATGAACTTATGAAAGTGGAAATATTTGCATTATGTGGAATTTTTAATATAGGAGCAGATGTCAAAATATTTAAGGTTGAGTATTTATACAGATGTGTTGAGGGGATCTTTAACTTCTCCACTACAACCCTCCCTATAAATGATCACTACATCACTATCAGTTTAAGTGTACACGACATTTAAAATATCTTCACTGCGTTACCTTTCTGAAGCCACCATATCCATCCATGCTCTCTTCAAAAAGACACCAGACTCCTTTCACTTTACAGAACACAGGGGATGCTGATCTGCCCCTCCCTCGATCGATTAGTTTGTTTGTTAATGTGCGTCTAACTCTTTAAAACACTTAAGTTACACAATGACAAAAACAAACTAAACCATCGGAGCAGTGGTAGACCAGTAACCCACATGTTCTGCAAGGTAAAAATACTATTTGCTGGCTTTGAGGAAAGTCTAGATAACCGCTTCAGGTTGTGTTGGAAAGGGCTCCCTGATAGAAAATATTCTAAATATAGCGTACACCTAAACCGATATGGATTTAATGAAAAAGAAAACTACAAAATAGGTTTTGTACTTTGCTTCACTCCTGTGCTGATACTCCCGTCCGTTTCTTCAAACATCTACTGTGGGTAATTCACTATACTATGGATAAATGCCTCAAACAGCACTTTTTTTCCCGGCATTTTCTTATTTATTGTGATAACTTCACTTACCATCCACGTGATGTAGGACGCATGGGTCTGGATGTTGTGCACGTCATCTGCGGGGATTCCTGCAAATGTTTTCATGGCCGACCCACCAACCTCCCGCAGCGCCATGGCGAACGGCACCATCCACCTCACGCACTGCTCCACCTCCACCCTCTTCAGAGCTGCAAGGACACAAGGAGGAGCAGAGTGAGACCTTGGGGGCAACACAACCAGGAAATATGAAAAACATTGTGCTTTAATTTAAAAAACTAAAAACAAAAAAAAACAAAAAAAACACATTGTTCTTACCCGAGACATTTTCCACCAGCTCCAGAGAGGAGAAATGAAACAGGGCTGAAGCAGCAAGGATGCCGTTGGAGAACTCAAGGCATCGCACGTCCAGCATACACAGGTCCAACAACTAGAGAAAAGAAAAACAACTATAAATATCGGAGCATACCTCAAAATGAGTACTGCAAATACTCATAAGCTACGACAAAATCATCTGTGGCATCTACATAAATACTGTGTGCATCATAGATTTCTGAATAAATAAGACTATATTTTCTCTGAAAGCTGACCTGCGGAGCTCGCAACTGTAGGGCAGCAACAAGTGGAACTTTGATGTCATAGTATTTACTGGTATTCACTGGATGGTACTAGAGATGGGTTCAGACAACACCACATCAGCCTGAATTATAGCCTACAGGAGACGTAGGGTGTCTGCTCGGATTGGGAACCATAATCAATCACACTCTCTCATGTAGAGCGTCACAGTCGACATCAACTGACGGCGTCTGTGGGACGCCTCGCCACCTCCCGGCAGAAAGACCAGCATGTTTAAATTCCTTTTATTTTGCTTTCCATGACACGTCCCCTCTGTGACTTTGACCAATAGAAGCAGAGAGCGCTTTTCAACTGTAAACATGGCGACGCGAAAGAGGAACGATGCTGGTGCTGCTAGGTGGAACTGTGAACTATAAAGTTGTGTTCTCCCTCTCGTCGTTTAGTTTTTTTAGACAGACAGCATCATACTTGGCCTGTGTGATAATTCAATATTAACATTTATTGTCTTTCAACAGAATCAGATCCGGATAAATAATAGAGATATTGCGATGAACAATTACTTCATCTTATAGTTTGTTTACGTTCTTGTTCCTAAGACTGTTCTGGGACCAACGCGCAGGTGTCATGTCACGGCAACAATTCATGACTAAAATAGATTAATCTGACCAAGTAATATCGTGGAGAGATTAAGACCCAAAACTGTCTCTCTCTGAATTAAGTAGTCACTCAAAGTAGACCGCATTTCACCCTCAAGTTTAACTTTGTCACTTCCTTGGACCAAAAAAAAAAAAAAAAAAAAAAAAA